AGTGTTCAGCGACTTATAGACAGAGTCAAGGATAGACCAAGCCTCGTTACTGTGCGCGAACTCAGCTCCAGGTTCGAGGTACCCATGCTGGAGGCATCCGAAAGCCTTGTCCTTGGTCTTCTGGCGGATGTAGCTAAGCTTCTTGGTTTCTGAGGCGAACTCGTAGGGATAATCAGCAAACCAATCGGTGACGTCCATCTTCCACTTAAGATAGTCGGCGGAAGTGGTGCCATTACCGGAGAATGCCTCAGGTTCAGGTTTCTTTGGGCGGGGGTGGCGACGGTGATCGTACTCTTCGTCATCGGAGTATCGATTTTTCGTAGACTGAGTGCCGCGCTGACCTTGGCGAGAGAGGGCTGGTAGAGGACTGTTGGCATCGTCGCCTTCAGAGTCCGATGAGTCTGGGGGGGAAGGGCCTGTGTGGCCGCGCCTGGCTGACCTAGAAACCTTGGCTGTAGCCTGTTTTAGCTTAGCCTGGAGTTTCTTCATATTCTCTAATGTGGCTCGGTGGGCGTCGTGCTCCTGTCGGTATTTGTCCTTGTAGGCCGATTTGCGGGCGGCGAGGTTCTCTGCCTGGTTCTGGGCCTGCTGGTAGTCTTCGTGAGCGCTTCCGCGCGCGTCGCGGAGCTCCTCGGTTAGGCGTGCAACTGTAGCGACGGAAGACTGAAGTTGGTCCTGGCAGTTCTTAAGGACAGCCTGTGTGTCAGCGACGTCGCCCTTGTAACCCTCAAGGATATCTTGGGTTTCTTGATCCTTGCTGTGGAGGTTTTCGATGACCTTGTCTCTTGCGAGAAGCTGTTCGCCTAACTGATCGCTGTGTTTGCGCTCGTTGCCGAGGTCTCTCCACATATCGCGGATTTGATCATATAGTCTGTTCAACGCCTTAGACTGGTCATTATTCGTATGTCCGATAGGCGTAGTGTGGAGAGAATCTTTGCGTTGGGGGTTGCCTTGCGCATCGTTCTCCCAGAGGTCGAAGGTGGTCACGTTATCCTCGCGAGGAATGACGTAGGACGTAGAGGGCTGTCGCTCGAATTGCGCACGCTCGTAGGCGTGTTCAACTAGGGGTTCTAAGGACGCGGCAGGTCCAGGTGAGAGCCACGCTTCAGAAAAATAATCAGTGTCGACTTCGGCCTGAGACTGGCGCGAGTAGCGGCGTTGCTCGCTCATTAATGGGTAGCGTATGCCCAATGGGCTGCTCAAGTCGGCGCGATGGTCTATGAAGGCCACGCCCTTCTTGCGCGTAGTGATTGTGGTCGGAAGCTCGTCGTCAGAGTCGTCGGAAATGTCCAGTGGCTGCTGTACACTATCGGTGTGGCCGAGGGAGGGGTAGCGTCCTGGAATGCGTACGTCCCTGTCGAAGAGGTTGTTCTTGCCGTGTGCTCGGGGGAGGCCGCTGGCGCGACGCTCTAGGGTTTCTTTGGTCTGGGAGGTGGGCGCCGTCGCACGCGAAGGCTGTTCGGGGGCTGAGTTCTCGTGGCTCTCGTCCATACGGGAGCGGTTCATGGTTGCGGCCGTCTCTCGCATGAAACGAGGGACGCCGAGGGCAGGATTTCGGTGTTCTGTAGTGCTGGGGCGAGTATCGCGCGATGTCTCCTCTGTGAGGAGTTCCACGATCTCGGGATGAGGGGAGTCACGAGCCCCCAGAGGGTTCATGACTTGTTCGACGGGGCGCTTCTCGTGAGGCGCACCGTTGGGCCAGTGTTCGGTGACTGCAATTACGTGTAAGGGTCTCACATAGGTCAGGTATTTGAAACTGTGTTGAATTACAAAGTAATTGCAGTGCAGAGCTTGTAAGAAGCTCTGCGCGGAATATATCTAAGTGGGGGTGTGCATGGGCCACCAAACAGGTGGCTCGTGCGCGAACATCAAAACAACGCTAAGGCATCTGGCAGGTGGCCTGTGCGGGGCAACGGCCCAAAACCATCACACCAGCGTCTGTACGCTCTCATCTTCAACAGTGCTATTATCTGACACCTTAAAACTAAGCTAACGCAGAGGCGCTGATTTTAGATAAGAAGATTAACGACGTCTACAAGGTATGCGAGTGGGATTACACTAGCTAATAATTTGTATATAATTACAGTCGCGATTGCAATTAAAACACTAGGAATTAATTAATCTTCAATCAGGATTACCTAAAACTTAACACTAAACAATCAATACAGGACGCGCGATCGCCAATCTTCCAATCAAGTCAGGATAGGCTCAAAATCCTATTTTGTTTTGTTTGTTGACAAGTCTGCTTCTGGAGGACGTATCTACATTAATAACCAGGGTCGTTAATACTCTTTCTCTTTTTTTTCTGTCTTTTCTCTTCTTTTTTCTCCTCTCTCTCTCCTCTTCTCTCCCCCCCCCCCCCCCCTACCTAAGAGAAGGCTAAAATAACTTTCTTAGATATTATATTTACAAGTCATAAGAAACATCTCCCCCTCCTCTAGCACCCTCCTCACCAGCCCAACACCCTCCTTAAACATCATGTCCACAAGTCGCAAGATGCATCTCCCCCTCCTCCGGCACCGTCCAAACAGTCTCAACACCCATAATCCCACTCTTCGTAACCATACTCGTATTAACCGGGCTCTTGGGAATAATCTCTTCTCCCCTCATAGCCAGGATAGAAAGCACATGCGCCGCAGCCTGTAACACTCTCGTTAGCAAAATTATCCCCTTTAAGTCAAGTGTGCCGCAGCCGAGAAGATGTTACCTTTGCATTAATCGTCAACGTCTCCGGGTTCGGGTTATCAATGGTATCGCAAGCTTGGTGATAACATGGGTCCTGCGCTACCCCCGTACCGGTATGTAGTCCACCAACGGGTTTACCAATGTTCATGAAACTCTGGTAATCGCTGCCACCGGTGAACCTCGCGGGTGTAACTGGTACACCTTCCTTTTCGAAGTGCTTAACGAATAACTGTTCAATCGCCGCTGAGCCAGCTGCACCAGAGAGATTGAACGAGCTACCGTCGCCATCAAACACGCCAAAGTAACCGCGCGACACCATGTCGAAGTTGAGATAGGTTAGGATGTTGTTTGCCTCGCTAGGGAGCAGGTTTTGCGTGTAGTATTTCGAACCTAGCAGGCCGTTTTCTTCGGCGCCCCACCACGCGAAGCGGACCTTGTTTTTGACGTTGAAGCGGCGGAGGGCCTTTGCGATTTCGAGGATGAGCGTGCTGCCGCTGCCGTCGTCGTTGATGCCTGCGCCGGCTTGCACGCTGTCGAGGTGGGCGCCGAGCATGATTACGTTTGTGGGGTCGCCGTCTTTTGTCTCGGTGAAGACGTTTTGCGTGATACGGGTTTCGACGGTTTGCGTTTGCTGGAAGTAGGCGGTTACGGCTTCGCCGGCTTGGAGGCGGGCGACGAGAGGTTCCGCGTCGGAGAGGTTGATGTAGCCGGTTGATACGTAGGCTGGGTTGGGGTTGGAGAGCGTGCCGCCGGTTACGTTTGCTGTGTCGCTGGCGTAGATGATGACTGCGGAGGCGCCAGCGGCTGCGGCGGGCTTCATGCGTCCGGCCAGTGTGGTTCCGTCGGGACAGGATCCTCGTTGTACGAGGACGATCTTGCCGGCAACGTCGAGGTTCTCGTAGGCTTCGTTGGTGCAACCTTCTGGGCCCGAGGCACCTAGGACGAGCGGGAGAGTCAAGCCTTCTGATGTTGTGGATGGCGAGTAGGATAACCCGATGACGCGGTATGAAGTGTTGCTCACACTGAATGAGATGGAGCTGATTTGGTTGAACAGGGCGGGGAAGTCCTGTGTCCATGTCTTGAAATGCGTGTTTTGGGTTTTTGCCAGCATGTAGTCGACAGATGCTGCATAACCAGGCAGACCGAAAGCTCGGTTTCCACCATTTGCTTTGGCTATGTCGTCAAAAGCTTCGAGGTTGCCCATGAGCCTGGAAAAGTTAATAAGATGTGGTATCATTCCGAACCACGGGCTTACTTCTCCGTCTTGATCTCAGCCTGGATGGCTTCAGACACCATAGGCCTTGGGGTAACAGCCGCCCATGTTTGCGCAGCACCTGCAAGGGCGAGACCACTTGAAATCTTCATCTTGACTTTTCTGAAAGATAGTCTCGAGTATCTGGACCTTCAAGTGTACCCATTTTCTGCGAGGGACCAGCCTACTTGATATATGAAATCGCCCGCTCTTGCCATTTCGGCTCCCTTCCGGTTACCTGGGTAAATGCGGCGCACTCAATCATGGCTGACCCACTGCTATCAAGAACATGCATGTGCTGCGTCTGGAAGAGAAGGTCGCAAGAGAGTAGAGCGTGTTTGCCAAGTTGCCAAGGGGCGGAACTGAGATACCTGCCTGAAGAACATTAGGCTTACTTGGCACGAAGCCACAATCCGTTGCCACAACATGAGACTAAACTTTCGCACGTGAGTATCCTTAGCCTTTCCTACCTGTGTTGGATTAATTCAGACGAAATAGCACGATAAGACGATCAAGTGCTGAGTTTTCGGCCGAGCCACTGCACATGTTTGATAGAGATTAAAGAGTTGATTATGATTATAGAAAATGAAGTACGCATCACCTTTCACCATCAAGGAGTGGCGTTCGTTCCGTGCCTATTCCGAGGTCGCCTCCATTGGCAACATCTACTCCCTTGGCCTGTCGAGCTTTGCGGTCTCTCCACACAAACGACAGGGCCATGGTTAGCAAGATGCCCTGCAGGAAGCCAGTAAAGATGAACAGTCCCCAGGCACTCCAGCCTCGCGGGCCTAGTCGCGCATATAGACTTGCAGCAAAGACGAAGCTACCGGGTGTTTGTATGATCATCATAGGTATCGATAGACTGCCCGTCTCTTGTAGTCTCCAAGTCATGGCGATTTGAGGGAGGTATTGTATAGCGGCTAGAAGACTGGCGAGGAGTCCGAGGAAGTTTGCCCAGCCTCGGACATGAGAGGGAATGGCGTATACGAAGACGACGGAGCCGAAGAGGGAAACGACGAAGAAGGCGATGGAGACGCCAAGCACGAGGACAGCTTCTTTCCATGTCGGCATGTCGGTGTCTTGTTCCTCTACCGTGTCGGAAGCTCTCGGAAAGAAGATGAGAAACAGCAGCATACTGTCGGAAGTCAGCAATCAAGGCAACAGCGACGGGACTGGCAGGACTGACATGAAGAAGAAGCAAGACCATTGCACTGCAATCTGCACTATGCCCAACATGGCAGCTGCACAAGGAAATCCTCCAATCTCTTTGCAACAGTCCATATCCCTTGTGCTCTCAGGCAGCGTGAGGATGTTGGGGATGCTGGCTGTACCAGACACAGTCCCGAGCAGGACTAACATGGGGACTGAGGCCTCGGGGAGGAGCGACGGGCTATGATCTTATAGTGCTTGAGGAAGGTACGACACGAGGATACCCAACTACGATGAAAGCTGCGAGAATACGTCAGTGACGTGGTTTGGTATGCGACACCAGGGAGGCTTACATGGAAACACCCAAAGTTGATAAGGTCGGGGGTGGGCGAGTTCTGTACATCTTGAGTTAACTTGGGGCTACCATAGCTGCGAGTCTGCGAGGCTGCGCAATATTGTGTAGATGTAGAGGTCGTCGCTGCCTTCTTATGAAGGTCAGCGTGAAGGTCGGATGCGTGTGACGGCAGCCAAGGAGTACGAGGTACGGACGCGACGGGAGGCCGAGCGTGCCTGTGCCTCGGCTGGAGCGCGCATCCGCCCCGTCATCTTTCGCGACCGACAGCAACCACGACCACGACATTTGACCTTCACCCTCATCAATGGACCCATGAACCACGTGCTCACCTAATCGCCCATCATGGAGTTCCTGCCTGCCCTCCAGCACGGCATAGACGACCTCAAGCCCTCCCTCTTCGAACTCCTTTCCGAACAACAGCTCGCATCGCTCCTGCCCCCATCGCTCCGCTATCTCCTGGCCGTCTCCACACATCGGTACCCACGATACCTGCTCCCCATCCTCAATTCATTCGATGAGGTGTACGCGCTGCTTATGCTGCTCGTCGAGCGCCACTTTTTGCGCACATACGGGGGCTCCTTTACCGAGAACTTCTACGGCCTCAAGCGCGCTCGCGTGCTAAAAGTAAAAGGCGGCGAGATTCCCCGCGCACAGCTCGGTGCAAGCGACAGCGTCCGAGAGGCGGTCAAACTAGGCAGTGGCGATGTGTGGAAGAATCTGGCGGTACTGGTGGGCCTGCCGTGGTTGAAGAGGAAGTTTGACGAGGGCTACGACGTGCACGCCGCCCATGCCAACCTTCTCGGCCCAGGCTACAACCGCGATAGAGAGGGCTTGAGGGCGGGAGCGAGCATCAAAGAGAGGCTGATGTACTACTACAAGTGGTTTCTGCGGAATATCTACCCCAGCATAAATGCGGCCTACTACTTTTCCCTGCTGGTCTTCAACATGGCCTATCTGTTCGATGGGACCAAGTACCACTCGCCCTTTATGTGGCTAATCGGGTCGAGGATAAGGAGGTTGGGCGAGGTGGATCACAGGGCGATTGAGATTGCAACGGCGCCTAGGAAAGTTGGACCAGCACGGCCTGGAGAGGGAGGGTCTATCTTCTCCCCAAGGAATATTGCACGAAGTGTTCAGCCGCGTTTGCTCAGTTCGCTCAAGATTCTTCTACCAACCAGCATCTTCGCGCTCAAGTTCCTGGAGTGGTGGCATGCCTCAGATTTCGCCCGACAATTGTCGAGGAAAGCAGCCGAGAACATTGAACTACCGCCACCGATACTGCCTTCGCTTCCGCCATCTGCGAAACAACTGGCAGCAAAACAAGCTCATGCATCTGAGAAAGGACGACCTACATCATCGTCATCCAATAAGTCTCAGTCCGCGAATCCCCCAATATCCTCGAAAACACTCCTTCCCATCCTGACCGTAACCCAACCATCATCATCCACGCTCTGCCCCATCTGTGTAACGCCCATCATAACTCCAACAGCGTCGCCAACGGGCTTCGTATATTGCTACACGTGTATACATCGATGGGTGGAAGGCGAGCATGACCGCCAGGTTGCCTTCATGGAGGGCACTGCTGGACTTAGGTCTGGAGACGGAGAAGCAGAAGATGAGGGTTGGGGCAGAGAAGAGGGCAGTCGAGAGGGAAGATGGGAAAGCGGAAAGGGCAGGGATCCCGTGACCGGAAGGAGAGTGCTTGGCGGAACAGAGGCTTTGAGAAGGGTGGTTGTCTAGGATACCATTGCAGCGTTTTGTAGTTTTGAGCGACTAGTACCAGATTATGATACCAATAATGGAATAGCGTATATTGACAACTCCGATGTTGGTGTCAGCACGTGATAATCGCAAGCGTAACCCCGCCACTAGAACCCGAGGTATTTCAACTGTACATCGAGATTGGCCGGAGTCGGGCTGCTCCTACGTCCGGCTATCGTGGTATTATAGCGCACGGTATCACCGGTACTGTATGCAAGCCGTTCAAAACATGAGTCGCCCATGCGCTGCCTTCACCGACAAAGAACCGGCATGGACGTGTGTGTAATGGTCTCACCAACCACGTCTCACCAATACCGGCGACGTTTTGACCATGTACGGGTATGCAGCGATTGGCAACCATCGAGTCCCGATCGCGTAGCTAAGACTCATATCGTGCATCTCCACCTTGCCCATGTCATGTGTCGAAGGAATGGCAAAGGGCGGAAGCCAATGTCAAAAGGCGTTGGGTTCGCGTGGAGCTGCCGGATTAGGCGAGCGGCTAACATGCTGCAAAACTTCTTTATATATCAACTTCTCCGTCGAACTTGGGCAACACTCTCGCCATCTTTACTGATTAATTTTCTTGACTTGTTCTTGCAAAATTCAACTGCCCTGCTCGATATCTTGGTACATTGTGATTTATTTAGAGTACATCCTAGCCCGAGCGACTGCCAGAAATGGCCCCACCACCACCACCACCACCACCACCAATGTCCGGCAAGGACTCTTCACAAGATGTCACATCTCACACGGAGGGCTTGATCCAGCCGCAAGATATTGCAGAGAATGCAATTGCGCGAGATCTCCAAGAGGAAGAAGGATCTGAACAAGTCATTGCAGATGACAATTCTTCTTCAAGTTCAGATACCGTTCGGCAGTATGACATGATCAACTCTTACCGCCGCCCCTCATACGTCAACGCAGGCGCACGCCCAACGGCAATAATGTCTACCAGCGTGCCCGAGCGGGGCCACCAATCTACGTCATGGAAGAAGCACAGTCACCTATCAAGGAAAGAGAAGGATACCGTCCGCGATGAGGAACGGAGTTTACTCCGAGACAACCACATAATCCCGCCGAAACATCCCCGAGCCGGACGGGAAGGCCCATTTGATCGCGTACGAACCAAGCTTTCAATACCAGGGCTACGCAGAGTGAAAAGCACATCGGACGAAGAAAGTGCCATCGGGACGCCAGACGAGCGAACAGCCCTGCTGGGGGCATCCAGAGGCGATCCCAGCCAACCATACGGCGGCTTGGATACCCCCAAGACCATCCACAGGACGTGGAATGAAGCCGTAGCCGCTGGCAAAATCAACACAACATGGCAGCGAGAAACCAAAGTTCTAGCCAAGAGCTCTGCGCCTATGATTCTGACTTTCCTACTGCAATACAGTCTACCAGTTGCTAGTATCTTCACCGTCGGACACATCGGCAAGACTGAACTCGGAGCGGTGAGTCTGGCCAGCATGACTGCTTCAATCACGGGCTATGCGATATATCAAGGCTTAGCCACTTCACTCGATACACTGTGCGCCCAAGCCTACGGGTCCGGCCGTCCGCACCTCGTGGGCTTACAACTCCAACGTGCGCTATGCTTCTTGATGGTCGTCACAATCCCCATCTCACTCGTCTGGGCTTTCGGCGAACAAATCCTGTCGCATCTCGGTCCGGAGAAGGAGACAGCTCGCCTCGCCGGTCTGTACCTCAAGGTGCTCATCGCGGGTGCACCTGGCTACGCAGCGTTTGAGTGTGGAAAGCGGTACGTCCAAGCGCAAGGCATCTTCAGCGCAACCATGTACATTCTCCTCATCTGTGCGCCACTCAACGCCTTCCTGAACTGGTTTATGGTGTGGCACCTAGGCTGGGGATTCATCGGCGCCCCGATTGCCGTGTCCGTGACTGAGAATATTCTCCCGCTCCTCCTCTTCCTCTACATCCGCTACGTCGACGGCTACCAGTGCTGGGGCGGCTTCGACAAGCGCGCGCTGAGGAATTGGATGCCGATGATTAAACTCGCACTTCCGGGACTCATCATGGTACTAGCGGAGTTCCTAGCCTTTGAGATACTCACTTTAAGCTCAAGCTGGTTGGGCCCAACTGCTCTCGCCGCACAAAGCGTACTCGGTACCGTTGCTGGTATAACGTTCCAGATCCCGTTCCCCATCAGTGTCGCTGTCTCCACACGTGTGGCTAATCTCATCGGCGCTACACTTTCTGTTCCGGCGAAGACGGCGGCTAAAGTCTCCATCTTCGCTGCTGTCCTCGTTGGTACTTTTAACTTTTCCATGCTGTATCTTTTCCGCCAATCTATTCCCCGCCTCTTCACTCCCAACGAGGAAGTCATCGAAATGGTGGCTACGCTACTGCCGCTCTGCGCTGCCTTCCAAGTTGTCGACGCTGTTGCTGCTTGCTGCAATGGTATACTGCGTGGACTTGGTCGACAGGAAATCGGCGGTTACGTCGCTTTGTTCGCTTACTATCTTGTTGCTCTTCCCATCAGCTTCTTCACTGGGTTTGGGTCGCCGCATTGGGGTTTGTGGGGTCTTTGGAGTGTAAGTTTTGACCATTCTGATGATGTCGGATTGGATGCTAACGTTGTATTCAGGGACCGGCTTTTGCGTTGTGTATTGTTGCGGCTATTGAGGGTGTTTTTATTTGGCGGACGAATTGGGATCAGGCGGTTGAGGCGGCTAAGCTGCGGAATGCGGCAAGTTAGTGTTGTTGGTAATCATGGCGTTATTTGGAATTGGGGTTTTATCATGGCGGGATGAATCATGGATGGGATGGGAAAAGTTGTTATGTTATTGACGTGAATGATGAACTGAATTGGCGCAAGCTACCACCATATACAGTCTACATGGTTATGCCCTTTCCCCAAGTAACCTACTAGATCTACTTGGTGGACTCCAGTGGACGATTACACTAGCGTGAATATCATCATTTGTGTTGAGAATACAGTCCGTAAGTGACTTGGTGGTATCAAGCGGAGGAGTAGTCACATGATTGGTGACACGTGCAGGTGGGTCCTAGCGGGGAGCTTGGACGCAGCTGCACGCAACACGGATCTACGAACGTGTGAATAGCTCCTTAGTCAATACAATACGAGTCGTACCACCACTACCGTTGTGCCTTAGAGAGCGCTCTATTAGGTAGTCATACTACTACTAATAGTGCCAGCTTCTCAATAATTTGCAAGATACCCATGTTATGTCCTTGTTTAAATACTCACAATAAAATCAAGCCCAGTCTACCACATGCTCAACCCCAACCAGAACAATCTCGACGATCACCTATACTACAGCCTCCAATTCACATACCTAAACCCCGCATCTCCCCTCTCACACAATAAAAACATCATACCACGTCTCTAACCTCTTCTGCCCGCTATCGCCCCTAATAGCATCAAGATCGGGTATATACACCATACCATACCTATCACCTCGCCATAATTTCAGCCTGTGAGATACATACTGGCCCGCACACGCACCGCGGGAACGGGAAAAGCGGCTACCAGTGCCGAAGCCGAAGCCGAAGTCGATGCTGACGCCGACGCCGACCGGGGAAAAAGCTCATGCGTTGAGTCCGGGATGCAATCGCGAGCCGCGCACTAGTTTCGTGCATAGGGGCGTGGCATACTGGCGTGGTATTGGGTCGTTTGGCGAGGCGGAGGTACTTTACGTGAGACCGCAGTAGTGCGTTTCTGAGCAATGGGTTAGGGTGTGGAGGGTTTCGTGGTAGAGGCTGTTTGAGGGGCGGGTAATGGTGAGGGTGAGAGGAAGTGTGTATAGTGGGTTTGGGAGAGCTGGTAGTATACTTATGTTCTTGTCAAGTTCTGGTATGTCGTGGGATTAAAATGGGAGATTGTGCTAAGGTCTTTGATACTGGGGAAGATGTGGTGAGTCAGTCCTGGAAGAAGTGGGTAGTTTGCTGCTTTGCGGCGTCGCTGCCGTCATGTTGCTCGATGTCGATGTAGGAGATGAAGACTTGATTGCCATGAATTGGTAAGCTGAGGTTCACAGCGGAGAATCTCGGGTTCGTAGTTTAGAAGCTTGCGCAATGGGTGTATGCAGGTGGTGGGGCACGACATGACGATTCTTCCACTTGCTTTTGCGTGAACAAAGGCAAGTTTGGGCATGTCTCACTTGGCTTGGATATGACATTTCATGTTTCTATAAGCTGGGCTTTGGTGTTGAGGTCAGCGGTATTGGTCCGTCGGCTACGCAACCCCCTTTGGTAGTAGTAAAAACCCCTCTTTTGAACACTAGCGTACGCTTTGGGAAATCGAGGGTATCAGTAGAGGAACACTTGTAACAGGGGTAAGAGTAGGGGTTTCGAGCTTTCCCCAGATCTCCGAGGTCTTCTGTCAGACGATCCTATGCTTGCGAGGTCATTGGCGTATTATGCTCAAGGAAAGTAATACTGCAATCGTTCGAAATACCACAATCGTTCGAATCGTTCTTCCTGATTACCAATCCGGGCCGCATGGCAAGATACAGAATTCCAAATCACAAGAACAGTTTCTAGACATGCATGTACATGATCGAATAAAGCATTGCTACCAGTTCACGATTCACCATAGCATTACGACAGCGGTGGTTAAAGCACATGAAGCAGCCAATCACAGTTGGCAGCCTCGCCTTGGAAAACACGTGACATGTTACATGCATATCAAACGCTTTGGGCCGGCCCGGCCGTTTTCCAACCAAACACTTTCCATCGGCGGCCAGTCTTGGTGTCCCTATTTCGCCGAAACCATCTGGAAAAGCCACACTTACCTATTTGTAGCATCTCGCAATATGGGTCATGCGGCAATGCAGATGTATTGAATGCAGACTCAGTTGAACGTTGGGGTAAACGACTGTTCTTGTTGAGAAAAACGCCCAGCGAAACTCATCCACCGTCGATCCCCTTCATCAGTGCCGCGCGGTATAGGTGTGGGTATTGTTCGTCTAGTGTTTGGAAGCATTGTGGCGTGATGAGCCAACCCCGGACTTTCGGACTCTTGACAGGGACGCGGACTTTCGCTGTGGCTGTTACCCATCGAGGCCTCTAACGAGGCCAGAGACGGCTAGCGCGACAGACCATGGGTTCCCCCTGGTCTTCCCGAACAACCCGAAACGCTTGGCAAAGGCATCCTCCTCAATCACCACATGGCGTCTGCGCATCTTCTCCTGGGGCACCATTTCAATGTTTGTGAGACTACTTTGCGACATGTTACCGTGGCATGAGTGACCGAATTATGCCCATCCCCGCCTGTCAGACGCGTACACAGCCGATCCCTGTGGCTGGGCAGCCTACTTTCTCGAGTGCCGCATGAAGCAAAGTCTCATATATCATCGTGGCTGAAGACCTTCACTTATGCTTCAGACAGAGTCTCGATACTATTCTTCCACTCCCTAAACTTTTTTTGTTCGACTTTTCTTCATTGCCTGCTGGTCTTGGCCTAACTGCTGGTCGGTTTTTTTTTCCTATTACACATTACATCTTTCGCCTCGACCGACGACTTCGGATTCAGGAGACGCCGGCCGTTCTTCGGACTTTCACTTAGCAAGCCTCCACGGCCGTTCAAAATGGGTTGGGGTGTACTCGAGAGTTCCCGGGCGGCATGCCCCAGGGGCACGTCCAGAGTAGGCGTCAAGGACACAAGCGAGGACAAGGTACAAGAGCTGGATACTTCGAAGAGGTCGGGAGGCGTCGTACTTGCACCACAGCCTAGCGATGATCCAAACGACCCTCTCAACTGGACCCTCAAGTGGAAAGCTCTCCATCTATTTGTCCTTTGCTTTGGATCTGCCGTAACCAATGCGTAAGTCCTCGAACAACGACTGTCCACGGCTATACGATATGCTAATCCGATACAGCCAAACTACCATGCTGACTCCTGGACTGGAGCCCCTCACCGAACAGTACAATAGTAATGGGGGCGACATTTCCACATGGGTTGTTACTGCACCGACTTTCTGGACCTCGTTCGGTGCTTTCATCGTAGTTGCAGGGTCAGATGTTTGGGGCAGAAGGCCATTCTACGTCTACAGCGTCGCATTGCTCGCCATCGCCAACTTTGCTGCCGAGATCTCCTCGACCTTCCCTATGCTGGCTATCGCCCGTACTGCCGGTGGCCTCCTCTCCGCACCTCTGTTCACGCTTCTCACCGCCACCATTGCCGATTTGTTCTTCCAACACCAGAGGGGTCGATCTATTGCCGTCTGGAACGTTCTGCTCAACTCTGGAGCTCAGGTTGGTTCAGTCTTTGCCGGTTTCGTCACTGATGCCTTTGGTGTGTCGGCCAACTTCCTCATCACCGGTATCCTCTACACCGCACTCATTCCCGTCTTCTACTTTACCATCTTCGAGTCGGCCTACTTCAACCGCAAGACTGACGACGTCACGACCATTAATGTTAAGGCCGACAAGCTTAGCAACGAATGGGACCAGGAGGATCTCAAGGCTTCTGTGCGACCTGAGAAATACACCTTCAAGCAGAACCTGGCCATGTCTAGAGGCCGTCTCTCCAACAAGTCCTTCTTCAAGGGCATGGTCAAGCCCCTTGGTCTCATTACTTCGCCCATTGTCATCTACAGTTGCTTCCTCAACGCTGTCGTATTCCTCTTCCTCGTCGGAGTGTCCACCTTCATGTCTATCCTTCTGTCTGCTCCCCCATACGACTTGACCCCTAGTCAAATTGGTCTCACCAACCTACCCGTTTTCGTTGTCGGTCTAATCACCGGTCCTCTGTTCGGTTGGATGTCTGATGCTTCAGTCGCTTTCATGGGCCGCCACAACGGCACCAGCAAGGGCATGGCCGAGCCAGAGTTCCGTCTAGTTCTTCTTCTTGTCGCGACTCCCATTGCCATGGTCGGTCTGCTCGGTCTCGGCCTGGCGTTCCAGAACAACCTCAAGTTCGTCTGGATCGTTGTCTGGATGGTCGTCACCAACGTTGGCAGTCTCTCTGGTATCCAAATCGCCATCTCGTACGTCATTGACTGCCACCCGGAACACTCGGCCCAGGCTTTCGCCACCATCAACATCATCTCCGCTGCCATTGTCACTGTCGGCATCAACCCCATCATTGGCATGCTCGACACTGTTGGACCCTTCTTCGTCTTCGCATCCATGGCCGGCGTGGCCGCTGTCGTTACCGTAATGGCGCTTCCCATGTATGTGTTTGGAAAGAAGATCCGAGCCTGGTACGAGCAGGCGCCCTGGGCCCAACGCCTCCTCGACTAAACGCACTCTTTCAACAAACCCGCTTGCGTGTCATCGAGCGCATCCGCGAAGCTATCAGTTACCATCGCTCTTGAAATATCATCTGCAAGGGGGGCTTCATGCAACTGACAGATCTCTTTTTGAGCGTTTGTTTGATGTGGGGGAACCAGGGGCTGCAGCGAGTTTGTTTGTTGGTCGGTCTATACACGAAATACAACCCCCACTATCGACGACGCCTCAATTTGTATTTTAAAACTTATTATCGAGAGAAACGTCTTTTTTTTGGTGACGATTAGATGCCTATAGAGTTTGAACACGCGAGTGAAGATATGATGAATGAGGTATTATGGATATGTTTACACCGGTTGTTCTGTAATGTGCAGTATACCTACCGGAAAAGTAAAGCTGCAACTTTAGCCTCTGTACTAAATGTGACTATGACTGATTTGACTGGGAGATGATATATAGGACGCCATCTTCTCTCGCGCGCTGTGTTCTAGTCGTCGCTGCAGCATGTGTGTGAGCTGCGCCATCGTCGGGTTTTGCGAGATGATACGGCACAGTCCGCAACAATCAATTAAGTGGGTCCTAGAAGGTTCAGATTGGATTGATTGATTACCGCTTTAAGCCTAGTAGTTACCTATAGGAGTTTAAGCCCTACCTAGATAGGTAAGTGGGTCTAGGAGAGTGACCGGATTGAATTGATTGTTGCGGAGTCTATGATACGGACTCTCAACATGAGGTAAGAGTGAAAATGCTCCGTAGAGCTATCGTCAAAATCATGTAATCGATGGTTCTCCAGTCTGGTACGCCTCTCAACATGCTCGGACGCCGTTGTCACAAGCCTTTTCCACCGTAGAGACTGCTAGAGGGATACTCTTGACCTGAGATGATCTTGCTCGTGCACCTCCCGCTGATCAATGGACCATCGCGTCGCTGCCGCCACCTTCACCTTTTCCTCCTCTATTTCGATGTCGTCTAGCCCGCCTTGTCACGGTTTGGGGTCTCTCCTGCAGTCGCAACTCACATTTGTAATGGAACGATGCCTATTTGGGACTAGCACGGTTGACGTCACCCATCTACATAAACTTTCCATAGCTTGTACAATACAACCTCAGTTCAATCCTTCAATTCTCCGCACATGCGCACTGTTCACTCCACCGCAACAGTTATGAGCCCGGCTGCAACCTAGGATTGTTCTCACCTGCTGCTGCAATCGTCACTCTGCTCGAGTCGCACGTTGCTATACCGCGTTCGCCACAACGCACCTGTTACCGCGTTCACCCACGACGCACATTGCCTGGATCTCTGCCTTGATCCTTACACACACGACTACAGCCTCTGCAATGGCTACTGAGTCCGACCCAGCTGTGACGCGTGTCACTGTCATTCTCAACACACCGGACGACTGGTTTACCTGGTTGTTCATTCGCCGAGACGTTGCCAACCGCCACGGTCTCTGGCAGTACATCAATCCTGACGTAGCTAGGGAGCTTCTCCCTGAGCTAGCGGAGGCTCCTGAGCCTCAACTCATTGACTACCAGGCTGGAGCTACTAGGCTCTCTGACCTGACCGCAGACGACCGAGAGTCCTACCGATGGGAATGCGATCGATGGGAGCGCCGCCGCTCCGAGTACCGCACCCAGAAGAAGGCTCTGGCCGACCTGAACACGGACATCAGCAAGACGATTGCTGTACGCCACATACATCTAATCAAGGATCACGAGACACCCTACGACCGGCTGGTCGCTCTCAAGAAGTTCCTTTGCCCAACCGACGCAACTCGCCGCCGCGAGCTTGCCGACAAATACAACGCTCTCAAGACTGCTCCACGAGCCACGAAGAAGGTCGAGCAATGGCTGGCCGACTGGACATACATTACCGCTCAGGGCAAGACGGTTAGTCTACCAGAGACTGACGGCAACCGACCGCAAGAGGACTTTCTGATCGCTTGCAAGGCACTCGATCAAGAGTACGCCACATCCTGCCTACGCGAGATCTTCAAACATGAAGCACGAGGCACCACTGCAGAGATCTCATCTCTTGAGACGTACGTCGCCGAGATGACCACATACCTACGCCGCACAAAGCCTCACTCTACTGGCCTGGCAGTCTCTGCTGCTGAGCTCGGAATCACGAAGCCGACTGAGACTCCATCAACTAGTCGAGGTCACCGTGATGGCGCTCACCGTGACGGCGCACGGCCAACACCTACCTGCGTCTGCGGGAAGCAGCATTGGTACACTGACTGCTTCATACTGAATCCACGCCACCCGGCACGTCCAAAGACCTATCAACCTGCAGCTGAGGCTGTACGCAAGGTTGAGGAAGCGCGGAAGGACTCCAAAATCAATGCGCGCATCAAGGCTGCTCTTGAGAGGTGGTTGACCCGCCAACCTCAGAGCAATGGATCACTGCGAGTCGATGACGGCGAGCCACCTGCCAACACAGACACGTTCGTGATATCGACTGGCCCAATGCTCAAGCCTCTTCACGACGGCCACGACAGTCACAACCGCGTCTGCCATAATAATGAGGTTGTCATTGCAATTGACGCTCGCACTGAGCCTGTGGAAGCCCTCACAACAATGGCTGTCGATGACACTACTCAGACTGAACTACGCAACCGATGGATTGTCGATCCAGGATCCAACACGCACGTCGTCAACACAGAGGCATGGAAGGGCTGGAGGAGGACGAGCGATAATCCAGAACGCCGCTCTGTCAACGCTGGCAATAGCTGTATTCTCATCACAGCTTGGGGCACGATGAAACTCGTCGCTCATACACCAAATGGACAGCTAACGCTAGAGCTGACGCACGTCGCGTACGTCGAAGGTTTCCTGACCAGCGTCTTAGGACTGGCTCGCTGCCGATCAGAGTCAATCCACTTCGACTCTGGCCGCGACGTCCTATACATGCGCCAACCATCGAACGTTATCGCGCAACTCGAATATAATGGAGGACATTGGCTTATTGATGCAGAGCCATCACGCCGACCACCACTGTCGCTTCTCCACTCACCGCTGAGTACGTTTGGGACATCATATCGCCCGTCGTACGCGCCAAAGCCTGCCAACGTCGTTGATCGGCGCGCTGCTCATCAGATTTGGGGCCACCCAGGTCGAAAGGCAGTCAACCAGCTCGAATCGAACGTCACTGGTATCCAATTGACAGGAGACCACATGGACTGTCTCTGCCAGACCTGCACCGAAGCTCGGATGACTCACATCATCTCGAGACGCCCGGCTGAGAGCCGCGCACAACGACCATTCTATCGAATCGCGATAGACTTGATCTACATCATCCCTATGGGAGAGGAGTGTATCGACGGCAGCAAGTACGCCGCACACTCTATAGATGAGTACTCAAAGTGGCATGAGATAGCCACAATCAAGCGAAAGGACAAGCCGACACTTACTCGTTGGTTTATGGCCTTAATCCGCCGAATTCAGCGCGTGTACGACGCGGACGTAGTCGCCATCCGATGCGACAACGAGAAAGGATTTGGAAATGATCTGATCAACACGACAGAAGAGCTTGGAATGCTCTACGAGCCTGCTCCACCTGGTACAAAGGAGCCGAATGGACTTACTGAGCGCGCAGGCGGAGTCCTCACTCAGCGAGCTCGCGCTATGCGTATACACGCTCACCTGCCCAAGAATCTATCGCATGAGATGTATCGCACTGCCGCATACATCCTTAACCGCACACCTACCGAAGCACTAGGATGGAAGACACCGTACGAGATCGTATGGGGACGAAAGCCACTCGTCGCTCATATGAGGCCTATCGGCTGTCGCGCCTACGTCTACAACCGCGATCTGAGAGCTGCCGACAAGCTTGAATCGCGCACTCTCATCGGCCACCTTGTTGGCTACCAAGGCACCAATATCTTCCGCATATGGCTTCCTACAAAGGATACTGTTATCGTCACACGCGACGTCACATTCGAACCCACGCTCTTCTTTGATGGGATAGACGGCTACGCCTCTACGCTAGTGATCGAGGAGGTGATCGAGCTACTTGAGTATCCAGAGATGCCTCAAGACGACGATATCAGCATCGAGGACCTGTTGACCGCTCGTCAGCGTCAGCACAGTCGCCAAACAGCACCTGTGACCTCAGCTCCGACGGCTGGAGGCTCCCAGGTGGGGGGTGAGATGGCTGACGACGCACTCAAATCAAATCAACCTAAGGAGGACACAATACATGTAATTCCTAAGGGCTATCGCCTGCGAGGCGAGAAAGCGCCACAAGACGTTAATCTTAACCCAACCGACACGAATCTTATTGTCTCTGGCAAGCGAAGTCGAAAGCTAAGAGATCTGAATAACTTTGCTGTACAGGTCTACGCTGAGAGGCTAGGACCTGAGCCTCTAGTCGATTACCTGCGAGCTTTCTCAACCGAGATTCTCTGCGACAGGGCCTCCGCCAGCGCAGACAAAGTACCACGGATCCATCAATCACAGCTGCCGCCTCTACCGAAGTCAGAAAACCAGCTTAATACACACATGTTTGGCGATCAATTTCGACACGCTATAGAGATTGAATGGCGAGATCTACGTGCCAAAGGCGTCTTTGGACACACAGAGCAATCAAAGGCCACCGCAGATAGTGAGATCCTGCCGCTGATGTGGGTCTTCTCGTACAAGACGGATGGAGATGGATATCTCTCAAGGTTTAAGGCTCGACTCGTTGTCCGAGGAGACCTCCAAGCTCCGATAGACGATACGTACGCTGCTACACTCGCTATCCGCAACTTTCGCGCTCTTATCGCAATCGCTAATTACTTCGATCTCGAATTGAAGCAGTATGACGTCCCTACTGCCTTCTTAAACGCAAAGACTAACCGCAAGCTATACGCTGAAACACCTAAGGCCTTCCGCCATATTGAAGGCGAGATCATGCTGGTGCTCCGCGCCCTCTACGGCCTGAAGGAGGCACCAATCTTATGGTACAATGAGCTACGTCGACAGCTTGTCAAGCTAGGTCTAAAGCCAGTCGAAGGCTTTCCTTGCTTGTACACGAGCCGCTGGCTTATCCTATTCGTCTACGTTGACGACATTGTTATGGCGTTTCATCGATCAAACGCCTATCACCACCGGTCCTTCGAGAAGGATCTGGTAGACCTATACAACATCAAAGCGATGGGGGACCTTACCTGGTTTCTCGGTATTCGCATCGTCCGCGATCGAGCTCTGCACAAAACCTGGCTAGTCCAAGACGCTTTCATCGACAAGGTGTGCGCTCGATTTAGCATCGAGGCTGTGGGCAAGGCTCCAGACGTCCCGCTGACGGAGAACTGGATGCCACAGTCTACTGAGGAGACTGATACTGCTCGTACGAAACTCTACCAGCAGCTTGTTGGTTCCCTTGCATATATTGCTGTCTGGGGTAGACCTGACGTCGCTCGAACGCACGTCGTCTTCGCCTGCCACCTCACCAACCCAGGACAGTCTCACGTCTCGAAGATCCGCCAGACCTGGCGCTACCTGCTCAGCACGAAGGCTCTCGCTCTTGAAGCCTCTGCTAGCGCGCAAGACATGGCTGAGTATCTCTCCGACGATCCGACGTATCGCGATCCTCTCTTCTTTGGATCATCCGACGCCTCGTATGCTGACGAGCCTGAGACGCGCCGCAGCTCTCAGGGGTACGCATTCAAGTTTGGAGGACTTATGATCGACTGGAAATCTACTGTCCAGCGCACAGTCACAAAATCAACCACAGAATCTGAACTGCTCTCACTTTCCCTCGCAGCCTCGCAGATGGAGGAGTGGATGCGCTTCTTCGCTGGTATTGACCTTACGCTCGACTGCACGCCTACCATCTGGTGCGACAACCAGCAGACTGTTGGTATTGTCACGAAGGAGCATGATAAGCTTCATACAAAGATCAAGCACGTCGACATCCACCAGCTCTGGATTCGACAGGAGGTCACCGCCTCACGCATTAACGTCAAATGGGTACCTACTGATCATATGCCTGCTGATGGACTCACGAAGGTACTACCAAAGCAGAAATTTATGGAGTTTGTCCGCCAACTTGGCCTCGTGGATATCACTGAGCGCCTGAGGGGACTACGTCAAGCTAATGGAGACGACCTCGACGGCATCTATATACACTGATCCTGTTCAGCTGTCGTTGACTCCCTGCCTGCGCGTCTACGCCAGCTGGGGGGTGTGTCACGGTTTGGGGTCTCTCCTGCAGTCGCAACTCACATTTGTAATGGAACGATGCCTATTTGGGACTAGCACGGTTGACGTCACCCATCTACATAAACTTTCCATAGCTTGTACAATACAACCTCAGTTCAATCCTTCAATTCTCCGCACATGCGCACTGTTCACTCCACCGCAACACGCCTTGATATCGCCACGTGCAACTAGCAGAAACCTCTCGCATAGAAACTAAACCGCCGTATTTCTGGTGTTTATTGAATTGAAGAAGATCATATGTATTGAGTTGAAGAAGGTGACTCGGCGGGCCTCCCGAATCGCCAGGCTACCAAGCGTGTCGCTGCTGCTGCTACTGCTGCGTGGCGTGCGGCATCGTGAGACTATGTAAACCCTCTTCTCTCCCTCATTTCCCGCCCATTGCGCACATGAAGTTTTCACATATCCACTGGCAATCAACCTGATAAACTGCGCAGCATACATTGTTCAACAGCGCGGTATATTCGACTCGACGAAGCGCCTGAAACTACCACACCCAGAAGTCTCCTAAGGTTACATCCACGCGACAAATTCGCGATCATGGAGAACCCCAAGCTAAGCAGCGCCCCTTCTCCCTTATCCTACTTGGCACCCGCCTCCCCCAAAGCCCGCGCCAACTTTCCCGTTTCGACGCCCATCTGCACTTAGATCTTGGCCGCGGAACTTGGTGCCATACGCCGCGATGCAGTCGCCCACGCTCATCTTTCTCCTGCCTAGCGTAATTGTCAGCGCTTTTCCTATACCGTAATAACTCCGTGACAACTCGTCCGCCCAAGATGATCCGATCAGCGGTGCCAACGCTAACTATCTCACGGCCTTGTTGGCGCATCGAATTGGATGGCTTTGGAGCTGCTTCAAGGAAGAGAACTGATATCATTCTAAAGCGGCATACATAAGAGCCCCGCGCGTATGTGGACTGACGTACGGATCTATCCAGCAGACTCCGCAACAATCAATCGATCGACATGATTGATTCCTATATAGGTTAAAGAGTTACTTTATTAGGCAGCCTTTAACCTAGATAGGAATCAATCATGCCGATCCGATTGATTGTTGCGGAGTCTGCTATCCAGTTTGCGATGAACACCTGGCAGGTCAAAGATCTTTTCGCTGATCGACCAAGAAGTGCTGAAACTAACCGGCCGCACGGCTCTCAAGATGCCCAGTTACAGCCGAGCAATCTCATATCCTCGGGACGCTGTAAGCACTAACACAGGTCCTCACTAAGTAAGATCCAATGATATGTCTCATACACGAGCAAAGTCTCGGCATGATCGTTCGTGTCCAAGATCCGGGCCTGATGCGGTGTCAGAAAGCTTTGAGGGCATAGTCTTACGCCGTTTCTTCTTTGCGATCAAAAGGTAGCTGACAGTGAGATTGGTAGTGAGATTCGAAGCTTGACATATATGGAAGTTACAGACGTTCAGAGTCTTGAATTCTGTGATGTTGTGTTACCACTTGCGAGTAAACAAACGAAGACTTTTATAATCCTTGTAATTGTGCAAGGTACCGTGGGCCCATAACCTAAATAAAGGAGACAGCAGTTGCTCAAACAGGCATAGCATCTAGATAGCCCGCTTTTCTCTCAACTATAAGGGTGTGTTATGGACCGTCAGACCTCATGAAACTGCGACATCCAAAACCACCGCTTCCGAATACTTTTGAACAATCACACCGAAAGACTCTTTTACTCACCAGCTTACGCGCCACTTTGTAAACTTATTCCGATCTCTACTTACCTACTATGAAGGTCTCCGTCACCGTAATCGCCACAGCTCTTACCCTCTGCGTTCAAGGCCAATCCTATGGTCAATATAAACATGTAATAAACTGGTTGGGGCCATGTTGTGGTTGGCGACCTCTTCCGGGCTACACAGACGGATGCGCAAACGTCAGATATCCAGGACGTGGCGGGATCGAGGTCTATCAAAATTGCTGGGCAAAGGGCCCGAACTCTTTGTGCGGATCTGCGTGCAAAAAGCTGAAGGGGCAGTCCTTTGGCTGCGAGCCGTTCGTGTTTTCAACCCTATATATATATCGTCAATCTAAAAATCTTTATAGGTATGGGGATCCAACAGTATGCATCTGTACTAATAGCTCACCTACACTAACTAAGCCTTGTTGATAATGTAAGCCTAAATTAGAGTCAGAATCAGAATCAGATGTAGATGTTATACAATAGACATACTAACGAGCTTAGAAATCCCAGAAACTGGATTCATTAATTGTCGGATATTGGGGATTAGGTCAAGGATACGCAATATCTATGATTGAGGCTTGGGGTATTATTATTATTATTATATTTCCATTAGAGTCCTGTATCAGTCGGTGACTATGTAGGACTTTGGCTAAGCCGTTCTATGTATGTTGTTCAATATGGAGTTTCTATAGGTCTTGTACAATTTGGAGGATAGTTGCGTAGTCCAATTTCCGAGCTAGTCTTCCATTGGCGCGGGTGCTAAAGAGCAGTGTGGTGAACAGAAAGAGATGTAACAGCGAGCTCTTTGCGAAAAGAAATATTGTTTGTAGTTTTATACAGTGTCTGTCTGTTGTTTTGTGTAGGCGTCTGTATATAGGGATCTACAAGAGAGAGAATAGATCTATACAGCTATTGCCTGGTCGATGTTTTGCTCGTGCGTGTGCTAGTGAAAGCAGGTGCTGGAGCGGTTCGGTATATGGGGTCGGTATATCGAGTCGGTTTAGGGCGTTCGGTAGAGAGGGTATTTGGTGTAGGCGTCTGTATATAGGGATCTACAAGACAGAATAGATCTATACAGCTATTACCTAGTCGATGTTTTGGGCGTTTTGGTGTAGGCGTCTGTATACAGGAATCTATTATAACCTAACAATAATAGACCTATACAGCTATTGCCTAGTCGATGTTTTGCTCGTGCGTGTGCTAGTGAAAGCAGGTGCTAGAGCGGTTCGGTATATGGGGTCGGTATATCGAGTCGGTTTAGGGCGTTCGGTGGAGAGGGTATTTGGTGTAGGCGTCTGTATATAGGGATCTACAAGAGAGAGAATAGATCTATACATCTAGTGCCTGGTCGGTGTTTTGCTCGTGCGTGTGCTAGTGAAAGCAGGTGCTAGAGCGGTTCGGTATATGGGGTCGGTATATCGAGTCGGTTTAGGTCGTTCGGTGGAGAGGGCTTTTGGTGTAGGCGTCTGTATATAGGGATCTACAAGAGAGATAATAGATCTATACATCTAGTGCCTGGTCGGTGTTTTGCTCGTGAGTGTGCTGGTGACAGCAGGTGCTGGAGCGGTTCGGTATATGGGGTCGGTATATCGAGTTGGTTTAGGGCGTTCGGGTATAGGTAGCATCTAGATATATAGGCCTATTACTTTGCAGCAATAGAGATATATACCTAAGGAAGAGCCGTTGCTCTGTCGGTTTCGTAGAGGGTGCCTTCGATCGAACATCTAAAATCAGTTGGCGCACGGGCCATTTGCAGAGATTTCTCTCAACTAAGGCCAGGTAACAACTCTGTCAAAGTTGCAGCGGCCAGCGCGCCCGCCACAACGCCTGCACGCAAAAGCAGACGTTGGAAACTGATTCTAGGAAGGCATTTCAATGGAATTGAGATGAAAAAAGGGTAATCCAGGACCTTTTTGTCATCTCGAAAAGTTGGTGTTCGATGGGGGCTTGGGGTAGCGGGGGAAGACAATGCAAAGTTCGCTTGGGCGGTTCAATACAATATTTCGCAAGCATTTCTGTACGCTCAAGTGAGAAAGGCCGGCATTTGATGTTTCAGTTTTTGTACGTGATGTCTGCGATCGTTCCATTCTGTCCCTGCTGTGACCATTTGGAGTATCCGTTCTTTGCATTCTATCCCTACGTCCAGAAACACCCTCCTCGACCATAAAAAGCGCACACGCAGACTTTCCAAAAAGCAAGTTGACTTGGATTACTTGCTTGACTTGCTTGGTTTAAACCAAGCAAGCAAGTCAAGTAAGAGCTGGGCAGCTAAGCAAGCAAGTCAAGTCAAGATACTTTGCTTGCTTGGCTTACTTGGTTTACTTGGTTGTTTTAGCGTTACTGTGATGAGGGTGCTAAAACTGCTGTACGGTAGATGTCGCGATGGTTTTGAAGTGTTGCAGTTGCCTCGGTTGAGTCCCAAACAGGCTAAGCGGCTATCAAATAACGTTAGCCTTAGTCTAGCGCATTGCTCCAATCTCGACGTACGCCTGTCTAGAAGCCTATCGCAATGCAGTATCCCCTATAGCAACGCGTTTTCCAGTGATTTATACTGCCCTGATACCCCCAATATGGCCAAACGTCGCCTACCACAAACTTCTGCTCGGAGCAAACGTACGAAAGTAGCCGCTGCCACCAACAACGTCGCCTCAACTCCTGAGGCTTCACCTGAGCCTGCATCTAAGCCTGCATCTAAGCCTAGACCTCAGCGTCGATCACCTCGCAAAACCCTAGCTGCCGCAAGCCAGGCTAACGCCTCGCCGCCAATACCTACCTTCGAGTTGCAGTTCTTAGAGTCGCAGGCGGAGGCTGAGATTGTCGCGCCCACCGAGGGCAGCCGAGCTGGCACGGTGGCTACAACTGAGGCTTGAGAGGGTGGTCAGGATGAGACAAACAGCGCACTAGTTGAGAACTTTGACGGCATTGACTGGGCACGTTTACCTGATTTTATCAAGCCATTGGCGCGTTCTAAGCGCCCAAAAAGTTGGATCTTTCAGTATGGCTACCGCGTTGTTGAGCGCCATGCTACATCTCGAATCTGGTTTGTGTGCAAGTACTGCCATGTACACAAAACTATCGACGCTGGCCGTGGTGGTTTGTTTAACATTACTCAGGCTACAACCTCAGCAGCCACCCATCTCAGCCAACCAAAGCCTGGCCACAACCTTACGAAAGATGGCCCAAAGTTAGCGCAGAGAGCTCGAGGCCAGCTGTCGTTGCGGCAAGCTTTTGACGCTGGTTTAGACGTACAACAAAACACTGCTAACGCGTTTGGAAACTTCGACGTAGAGGGCTTTCGAACAGCCACTGTCATGTGGCTTGTTAACCGAAACCACCCGCTCAGCGAACTTACGACGCCTGATTTTAGAGAGATGATGAGATTTGCCAACCCAGAGGCAGAGGCAGCGTTGTGGGTAAGTAATACCAGCGTTTCTACCTTTGTGATGAGGTTGTTCCGGTCTATACGACCGCAAGTTATCGACACCCTGTCAGGCTCAGTAAGCAAAATACACGTAAGCTTTGATGGCTGGACAACAAAGGGTGGTAAACGTGGCTTCTTTGGAGTAGTCGCTCACTTTGCCGACGCAGCTGGAATAATACGAGACTTACCAATCGATCTGCCTGAGCTCGCTGGCGCCCACACCGGTGAGGCTATTGCCAAAGCTATCTCGACGACGCTCTCAGCATACGGAATAACAAGCGACCGATTAGGCTATTTTGTACTCGACAACGCTACCAACAACGACACTGCGATCGCCGCGCTCGCGCGCGAGTACGAATTTGAGTCCGCTCACCGGCGCCTCCGCTGCAGTTGTCACACGCTTAACCTCATCGGCCAGGCTATTATATTTGGCACCAACAAAGACGCCTACGGCAACACTCAAGAGCAGTACAATACCGAGGAGCAGTATATGCGAGAGTGGCGGAAAGATGGCCCTATTGGAGTGCTAGTTGACGTCATCAACTATATCAAAACGCCGCAACAGTACGAGCTTTTTCGTGGCTACCAGCGCCTTGCCAACAACAACCTGCCTGCTGAAGGGCGTCTCAAAGTACTCGAGCCAGTCAAGCCTGTCGTCACTCGCTGGAACTCATACTATGCTGCTTTTGAGCGCGCTACCAAGCTTCAAGCCGCGTATAACTTGTACGCTGAGCATCATATCAATAGGGTTATCCTTGAAGATGCGCACGCTGCGCAGCGGAATAATAAGCGGCCCGACGCCCCAAACTGGATGAGATCAACTGGGCTCCGAGCTGCTGACTGGGCGGTGATTGCAGAGTACCAGGACTGCTTAGAGCCGCTCAAGTACGCCACAAAACGCCTCGAGGGACGCTCTAAGGATGGCAAATACGGCGCAATCTATGAGGTTATACCCGTTTTTGAGTACGTACTCAGCAAGCTTGAGGCCCGGGCGCGCCCGTTCGAGCACGTCGACTTCAACGCTCATGCCGAGGCTCCAGAGGATCACCTCAACGTCAACCTCCGCGCCGCGTGGAGCAAAGCCAACGACTACTACAACAAGCTCGACGACTCGCCCGCTTACTACGCCGCTGTTTGCCTACACCCGTACTACAAGAACTACTGCGATGTGGCGTGGGCAGACAAAGCTGATTGGCTTACTAGTGCCAACGCGTCGTTCCAACAGCTTTGGGCGGCATACAAACCTCAACGAGCACGCCAGCGGTATACAACTGCGCCGAGTAGCAACAACATAGACGAGGCAATTATTGCTATACTTAGCCGCAACAATGACCGAGAGGCTCCACTTGACGAGTTTGAGCGCTGGAAAACACAAGAGCCGCAGTGGACGCAGGAGCAGTACAACGCAGATGGAAATCCTGTCCAATACTGAATACAACTACTGCCGAAATACCCGCATTTAGCGCAGTTTGCAATCGATATCATGACTATCCCAGCATCAAGCAGCGACTGTGAGCGCCTCTTCAGTGAGCTTGGCGACCTTCTTGAACCTAAACGACGTGCTCTGGGCAGTGAGCTACTCGCAGCTCTTCAATTAGTAAGGTCATGGGTGCGAGCTGGTTATAAACCGTACAACTGTAGCGAGGCTAAGCTTTCAGATGAGCAGCTTGTAGGAGATTACAACATACTAGAGTGGAACACTGAGTTTTGGTAATTTGTATGTAGCTTAATCTCTTTGTAGTAGTCAAGTAATCCAAGTACTTGCAAGTAATACAAGCAAGTCAAGCAAGTAAAAAAATCACCCCAAGCAAGTCAAGTAAAGCCTATGTTTGAACCAAGCAAGTCAAGTTTAGAGCGGTGACTTGCTTTACTTGCTTGTTGGAAAGTCTGGTTATCTGATTGGCGCGGCAAATGTGCTCTTTGTATGGCCTGGATCCAAGACGAAGCCGAGCATTTGGCGGATGCGTGTCCATTCTCCCCCTCATGTCACAAGCACTTAGCGACCCATGTTCGGCACTTGGAGGGCATTGTGTGGTCCCCTTATACCTCCTGCGTGGCGTGCCGCGTTCCACAGGGGCTCTGTGCGCGATGGGAGGAGCGGCCCGAGGGTGGGCTCTTCTACGACCGTGGGCCTGATCACTGTCAGTATCCTGGTATCCTTCTGAAAGCCGTCGCGGCTTTGATTTATACGCACTCGGAGCCCTTTAAGGTCTGGATCCGGCCTCATCTAGTACAAGCGGGCATGGCTGACAGACCGGTAACGAAGGAAAAGTACCTCCAGGTGTTAGGAAAGGAAGCCCAACTAGGGGGTCAGAAAGTGAGCAAGTTGGCCCTTTTTTTCCATGACTGGGCAGCGGGGGACGTGGAGTGTCTAAGCCCCCAGCCAAACCAATTTCGATAGACGTCGGGAGCCACTTAGCCATCTTCAGGCTTAAACACGCCTATCTTAGTCTTTATAGGTGCAGCAACTCTATCTAGCGTCTAACTAGCAATTGAGATTAGGGTTATCTACAAAAGTTTGTGTTAAGTCGTGATAAAGTTGCGATGAAGTTGCGATGAAGTTGCGATGAAGTTGCGATGAAGTTGCGATAAAGTTGACTAGTGTGCTTGGCATCTGACTTATAGGACCGCAGTCCCTAAAGTTAGGGTTACCTTTATAGCCACTTTGTACCTACTTTATATTAAGCTATACTTTTTATTCTGAACTTTGTAACGACTTTGTATTAAGTATAGTTAGCCTTGTTTCTTGTAGTGGTCGCTTAATAGCAACTTTTCCGAGGGCGTGGCATATAGATATTGTGAACAGTCCGTAGGAACTGTATTCTAGCTACCTAGTCCAGATGCTATTTACAGTCAAGATAAAGAAAGAAGGTAAGACGCAAGCTGTCAGATTGTGATGGGTTATCAAAGACGGGGATAGTAGTATAATAATATGATGGGGATCGATTGTATTGTTCTGGTCTGATGTCGTTGTGTTCTGTTCTTCTCCAACGCTGTTCGATCAGTTGGGTCGCGGTGGATTGTGCGCGCTGACTAATTTAACTGATCCACAGAATCCACAGCTCCGAACACCCGGATTTTGTCCACCACCCAAAATATGCCCCTATTCTGACACAAGCATACATGGGCAAACTGGTTAACCGGTTGAATTTACCGACTGAAACAACCGACCGGATCAATTTTAGAGACCAAAACAACCAACTAGTTAAACTAGTTAAACTAATTAGACTAGTTGTATTTTATAACGTATCTATCTACTAACTAAAATTAGTATTAATACACTTAACAAGCTGTTGATCTAACTCATTTGCAGTACTTTGATTAACATAGGGATCCGGCGTGATAGGAAATCCTAATCCACTCGCCCTAACAGGGTAAATGTGCCCCTTTTTTAGCCAATTGCCTATACACTTAATAATCTCAATATTCTGAGGCGTTAGCCTGAGACGACTCCATGAACATGTTCTCCGAGCTCCTGAGAACACCCTCTCTAGCTCTGCAGACTCTGCAGGAATTGAGAGGATAGTGATAGCTATTCGAGAGAGACGAGGGTAGCATCGCCTTTGAGTTGACTGACACCACCACTCTAGTAGAGTAAGCTTCAAACTATTAAGATTAATAGGTTCTATCTTAATTGTGAACGGTCTGTAGGTACTGTATTCCAGCTACCTAATCCAGATGCTATTTACAGTCGAGATGAAGAGAAGAAGAGGAAGTGGGCGGCCATCCCGCTTTGTTTGGGTTGGCGCGCGGCGCACGGTGCACGGGCTGCTGGGGGAAGGAGTGATAGAAGGAAGGAAGCGACTAGGCCAGCGGCCTAGTCATGTGACCTAGGGCTCAGCCCGTTACATTAATAAAAGAATAGAAATCATCTACAGCTCTAGGTAAAGCATACTTAAGCCTTTGCTTTGCCTTATACTTTGCAAAGCTATTTAACTTTGCTAAATTAAGCTCTACTACAGCAGCCGCATCTCTAGTTAGAGAAGTGTCCTTAGTAAGTTGACTATTAAACTCTTCCTAAATTATGCTAGCTGATTTGATTGCAGAATCAACCCAAGCCTTCTCCCAGAATGTGTCAAGATATGCGCGGCGAGATGACGGATCAAGAAGGATAGCAGCTCCATAGGCAGGAACCTCGTCAGCACGACTATAGTACTTGTTAAGGACAAACCAGCCTATGTTGATAGCTCTAACCATACGGAGGTCCTTTTTAGGCCTAGAGGAGTATCTCTTCTACAAGCCTTGTTAGTAAAGAATCCTAGAGTCTTAGCTTTCTAAACGTACCTTCTCATCTTCAAACTTCTTTAGAAGAATCTCAATAATAAGCAGCGATTGAGCAATTAAGCTCTACCCCTCCGCGTACAGAGTAGCCTCAGCAAATGTCTCAAGGAACTCATGTGCTCTATCGAGAATCTGCCAGTCCTCTCCAGTTAGTCGGTTATCTCCGAAAGCTACTTCATGCTAAAACATAAACTCAACAATCTGAGGTTTCATCCTTTTTGCCCGGCTGATAAAGTAATACCATGAGTTCCAGCGAGTGCGATTGTCGATCCCTAGCTGCAGTCCTACAGTATCTCGCCATAAGTCCATGTAGATAGTAGAACTACGGAGCAGTTTAGCAAGACCATAGAGCTTGCGTAATGCTAGAATGTTCTTAATTATCGCAGTAGACAAGACGTCAACAACTGCATATGAGAACTGCGTTGATTGTCCTACGGAGTAGATACACAAGGTTATATACATGAGATGTGCGTAAGCACATGACGGCAAAGGAGTGAAAGTGAAGGTTGTAGAACATTCGGCCAAGAAGCATCGGGCCGATTCCAAGAAGGGTAGTCCTGAATGGCAACATTAATGCCCACAAACTTATCAGCAGTAGACTCCTGGCTTGCTACACTCTTAGCTGTATTCGCACGCCGCCTCTTTCGACGTTCTTGTACAGCCTGATCCTTTTCCGTAGAACGCTGTTCTGCCTCTCTTCTTCGCCTCTCAGCTAGCACATCTAAGAATATATTAATAAGCTCTTCGCCCTTAACTTCAGCGGCCTTAGTAAATGCAGCTTCAAGTGCTTCCTTCGATGACGCAAGTAGAAATGCTTAGAGGCTTAGGTTGATGATATAGGCTATTGTGGTGTAGTAGCTTGTCACGTGTTCGGCGTTAGGTAATCGGCGCTAGGGTTGAGTATTTTAGGACGACTCCGCGTAGAGGAGCTCGACAGTTATCGTACACCATTCTTAATACTACCGTTTATTGTTCGGATACCTTCTTGTTCTCTACTCTCTACCGATTGCGGGTCGGCAGCCTCTCTTCTGACTATTGAGGCTATCCCTCTACCACACTATACAGCGAACACGCCGTTGCTCTGCATTAAAGGAAATGCCCTTAGCATAAAGTAGCCTTTCGAGATACTGCAAAGTAGTGTTATTTGAGGTAGCATTATCTCTAGTATGCCAGCCAATCTTTAACGCAATTCTATAGGTCTCTATAACCTGCAGAAGCAACTCAGCTTAACACTCTCCACTATAGGTATAGCGACATTCTAGGAGAGCCAGTAATCTAGTTTGAAGCTTATAGTTTACATCGACTTACTGTGCAGTAATGCCCAGAAGAGAATAGCGGTTAGGCGAAGACCAGAGATCGGAGGAGATGTGAATAGAGCTCACAGCGGTTTGTAGGCTCTCTTTAATCTGTTCCTAATAGTAGGCTTTATTTGTGATGATTATGCGTAGGAGCGATCGTCGGGTTTTTAGAAGTTGGTCCTCAATATACGGATTGGCAGCAAGAGAGAGCTCTTGGAACTCTTTCCACTTAATAGCAGAAAACGGGAGCCGACGCTGTGTGAAGAGGGCTACGATAGCATTATGATACCGCGGGAGACTGAAGACGTTCCTTATAGAATCGGGCGACGGAGAAGAAGAGAAAAAGGACGTAATCTTGCGAGGGTTATGTGTAAGGGAGTTTCCAGTCACTGACTCAGGAGCTAGGCTTGATAACGCGAGAGGAAGAGTAAGAGCTAGTAATGGGTGATTATTCCGAACGTGTCGGACCGCATTTATGCGATGATTTCCGGAGAACGGTCGAAGAACGCAAACTTTGCAGGTGTAGATAGTAACGCCCTTACTACTCCTTTTTATAGATAGAGGCTCCTTAGAGATCTCTATAAAGGAGTAGAAGTTGGCAGGTAAAGATGAAGACGAGGTTTCAGCAAGAAGTGACATAACGTAGAATAGTAACGAGGAAAGAAGTAAGCTTGCAGGATTATATTAAAGACAAGAAGCTTATAGATATTCAACTAGTTAACCAGTTTAACCAATTTAATTATATTAATCAAACCGGTCGACCAAGACCGGCCGAAAATGCCGACCAACCGGTTAACCGGAATAACCGACCGGAATAACCGACCATTTTGCCCATGTATAGACGCAAGCGGCGAGCCTGCTTTGTTTGGGTTGGCGCACGGCCCTCACGTTGCCGGGGAAGCGACTAGGCTAGCAGCCTAGTCATGTGACTCGAGGCTCAGCCCGTTACACCTAGCTTTTATTACGAGTACTAGAATTAGAACAAGAAAATGGCACCTAGGGCAACCACCAGAAATACACACAGTCACTGTATAACACTACCTTAGAGAGAGCTACTCTATAAAACTAACAAAACTGTATTTCTTACTATAAGAGCCCGCTGCTACATCTCTTTCTATCTACCACACTGCTCTTTAGCACTAGCGCCTACTCCAGATCTACTCTAGAATAGGAGCACGCAAAACATCCTCCAAACTGTACTACCCCAAAGAAACTACTCATAGAAAACACCTATATAGAACGGCCTAGGCCAAAGTCTTGCATAATCTCTGACTAAAAAGGACTCTAAATGGAATAATAATAATAATAATCCGTTAACGGGAAACTGACGGATTGTTGACATGTCTAGCCAGCCACTCCACAGCAGGTAAAGGGACTGGGTTAAAGTCTAGAATCGTAGCTTTGGACAAGATCTCCGAATAAGCACTGCGAAACGAAGAGATAGTTACTCGTGATCTGACAGCTTTAATATTTCACCTAGATGAGTACTAATGGCCTCCATAGGCGGAGGACGAAATGCACCATCTTTTACCTTGATCAAGGTGGAGAGGCAGGATCGTAAGTCCTCTACCTAGTCTAGCAGGGTATCCCCTAGTTATATTAATGTTGTTACGATGGGCAATCGCTTGTCCGACTTCCAGTATTCCCCGGAACGCGATGCGGGCACCGCGGCAATGAGTCGTTGTGGACGCAGCAGTACCGCTCAACTCTATCCGCCCTTTCACCACTCTCTCCAATTCTCATCTCCTTTTTTATAACCATACAGCTATCCCTACAATAGCGACGCCGTGAAATTATTATTAGAAGTAATGTTCCGATCCCCTATGCAAAAAGAAAACACTGTGCCTCTAAAGATAGCATGGTGGAGAATGCGTAGTTATGTGATGACAATGTCGGAGCATCGCGGTAGTCTCTTCGGCAGCATGTCGGACCTACAAAGTTCCGCACAGATCGGCAAAAAAAAATTCAAAAACATACAACAGCGGGGATTCGCTAGTGGTCACCCACCTAACTACTAATCCGCCGGTACACTGCTTATATATGGCTGAGCGGACGGGAAGCCTAGTTCTCAGTGTCCTATGGTCGTATGTGAGGTAAGTCAAACTTTCATTTAATATAAAGTGTTTTGTTGAACTACAAAAAGGCCGATTTTCCTGCAGTTGTAGCATGAAGGTATATATAGTGGATAGTCTGACATGTTTAATAAGTGATTCGGTTATAACGTGTTGACAGCTGCGCAGGACATCGAACACCAACTTTTCGAGTCGAGCAAAAGGTCTAGTGTGGTAGAGGGATAGCCTCAATAGTCAGAAGAGAGGCTGCCGACCCGCAATCGGTAGAGAGTAGAGAACAAGAAGGTATCCGAACAATAAACGGTAGTATTAAGAATGGTGTACGATAACTGTCGAGCTCCTCTACGCGGAGTCGTCCTAAAATACTCAACCCTAGCGCCGATTACCTAACGCCGAACACGTGACAAGCTACTACACCACATTTTCCTCCCCAGCCTCCAGCTTGGTCCCCTCAAGCTGCCGAATGCCTCTCAAAACTATCCGACCCGCTTTCGACGACTCCTCCGACTGTCTCGCGATGCCTGCCGCAACCTGCAACCATGCTGCCTTCCTGACAAACACTCGCGTTTGCTCCTCCACCTCCGAAGCGCTCTTAACTAGTCCAGGCCAGAGGTTCTTGTTGAAAGTCCCTCCGCAAGCCCACCGCTGCCTTCAACTGCTCTCTCACCTTACAACCACGGCAGCGATCGCCTCTCTTCTTCCCCAATAGCTGCTCGGTGATGCTAACCTCCCCAGCCTCTTCTGTCTCCCTTACTCTGTGTCGCTGTCCCCGCGCGCTATCCGGAGGCGCCGGCTTTGCCCTCCCCTTCTTGAACCTTCCACGATATTTCCTCGGTTTATCCCTCCGACTATCGTTCGCCTGTCTTGCTCTCCTTCGCGGTCCTCCCCAGCCTGAACATCTCTTGTCTGGTCAGCTCTTGGCGTCGCTTGCCTTTGTCTTGGCGCCGTAGGCCTTGCCATTGGCAATCTCTCGGTCTCGGGATACAACCCGCAAGCGCCCTCGCAGCAGGCTATCTTCTAGCTTCTCCGGCAGTTCTTCGAATTTCTTTAGGCGATCAGCCCGAGTTGTATTCGGAAAAGCAACCTCATTTAGATCCTCTAGCCGGTAGTACCCTTTATCTGCCTGCGCCCACAGTCCGCAACAATCAATTAAGTGGGTCCTAGAAGGTTCAGATTGGATTGATTGATTACCGCTTTAAGCCTAGTAGTTACCTATAGGAGTTTAAGCCCTACCTAGATAGGTAAGTGGGTCTAGGAGAGTGACCGGATTGAATTGATTGTTGCGGAGTCTACCTGCGCCTCCCGAACTCTGTATGGACCTCTCCACCTGTCATCGAGCTTCCTATCCGAGCTCTTGTCGATGGACTTAATCGCGTCCCAAACTAAAACTAGGTCTCCTACTTGAAAGGGCTTCGGCACGTCCTTCTTAGCGTTGCGGCTCTCCACAGCTTCTCTCCGAAGTCTTCTCGTACGTTGGACTGCTTCTTCCAGGTTCTCTCTGCGGAATTGCAGCTGCGTAGCTCTCACCGCAAGAAGATCGGCATGGCTCCGAACTTCGCTCCACGGTAGGCTTTGCCACGTTGGCACTACAAGTTCAATCGGAAGGACCGGATTTTGACCAAGCACCAACTGCGCAGGTGAGAACCCGAGCGGTCTTCGTAGCGACACTCTCTCGGCCCACGTTATTGCTGACAAGTTGTCTATCCACAAGCCCGGCATCTTTGCCAGCCCATGGATAAAGCCTTGATGACCTCTTTCGATAAGCCCTTGCGCGCGCGAGTTATACGCGGAGGCTTGAACCCGGTGAATACCAAAGAGCGTAGCCAGCGACTGGACTACTGACTTGTTCTCGGTTCCGCCGTCTACCGAAATCCTTTCGGGCACACCCCAACGACAGCAGATCTCTTCAAAGATAAACTTCGCAACTGAATCGGAACTTGCTGTCGAGAGCGCACGAGTCTCTGGCCAGCCCGAAAGATACTCTCTTGCAACTAGCAGGTAGGTCCTGCCGCGTACCCTAAGATATATGCCCAAATGCAACCTTATAAGAGTTCATTTTAGAGCCAATCAGCAGCGTCGGAGCATGCGATCCTAGCTTAGCGCCTCGCCTCATCAAAACTCTCGGCTACATCCGTCTTCATTAAGTCTCGCTGAATAAACCTTAGCTTTTGCATAAACATTAAGTTATATAGGCTACCGGTAAAGGCCCGAAAAGCAAGAACCGAGATGCTATAGCTTAGTCGCCTCTTGTGTTGCAGTCTCTCCTATCTTCTCTCACTCGCCTTCACTAGCACTCTAACCTCTTATCCTCTACGATATCTTATTGCGTCTTTCCTACCTTCTTACCTTACGCTTTAATAATAATGGATCTCTTTGCATTCTATGCTGAACACCAAGTTATTGTGTGTAAGCTATGCGCCTGCGCTGTTGCGCCTCTGCATCTTGTTAGCCATATCAGCAACCTACACCCTCATGAGGCGTGTCGCGACGCAGGCCTTGACTTCGCTAAGTTTCGGGTGAGAAAAGCAGCTAACACTATTGCTGAATGCCTGAGAGAGAGATACAGCCTGCTTGATCCAAGGACTCAGAGGATTCCACGACCGCTACCTACAGACCCACCTCTTCCAGATCTAAAGCTTCACCGTGGTTACCAGTGTAGTCGCTGCGACTATATAGTCTCTCGCTCTAAGTCTAGCCAAAGATTGCTAGAGCGGCACTTTAGTCAGCAGCACAGGATCCTACCCCGAAAGAAAGGACGGCCAGGGAGATCAATTACTATACTAGAAGAAGACAAAGGACCAATATACAGAGAGGCCTATTGCCAGCGCTTTTTTGCTTCAGGCCATCAGAGCTCTTTCTTTACAGTCTATGTCCCAGATCAAGTGCAGGATCTAGTGAAGACTAGATCAAGAGGGCACGCCGACGTCTACCGAGCCTTGGTTGATGAGCAGCTTATAGCAGGGAACGAAGAGCAGAATGCTAGAGCGCAGATCTATAGCAGCCAGGTCACAAAAACTGAGGTATCGCCGTGGCTTGAGATGACTAGATGGCCGCGCTATTTCTACCAGACTCCGCAACAATCAATCGATCGACATGATTGATTCCTATATAGGTTAAAGAGTTACTTTATTAGGCAGCCTTTAACCTAGATAGGAATCAATCATGCCGATCCGATTGATTGTTGCGGAGTCTGATTTCTACGGCCTAAACATGGCCGACGTCGCGCCGCTGGCGTACGCAGCGAACCCGATCACTGAGCCCGCGCTTATTCTCCTTGGAGAGAGTTTTGACCGACTTATCGAGTGCGCGCACCGTTCTATCCGCGAGGATAAGATTAGCGTCTTCGACCAGGCACAGATTAACAGCTTCATCTCCGGCCGTTCAGGCAGGCACGATCGTATGCTCATGGTCAAACTAGCCAAGAGTACGTTTCGCGCCTATAAGGGCATCTAGAAGCGCCTTCTCTGCTTCGTGTATCGAACAAGCCAGCCAACGCAGAGCATCCCCTTACTACACAGGCTCACTACCGCCCAGCTATTTCATCTTGATCGGGCCCTTCACCTTGCAGAGCAGCTCTCGCCCCTCCAGCGCCTATCACGAAGTAACGCGTCACTTACAGAGGAAGCAGGAGTAGAAGAGATAGTCCGCGACCTAGACAGGGCCTGTCTGCTCCTCTGTATTGCTCTGCTCGACCACACGCTCCAAGGCGACCATTTTGAGAGTGTAGTATTGAGCTTTCTTGCTGTTCTAGGTATTGACGGGAGCTCTGGTGGCGTCTTCCGCGGCCCGCTTAGCTATTCCCCTGATCTCTCCAAGTTTGTCAAAATGGCGCAGATGCTTGTTGTACAACGATCAGTAGTAGCTGCAGAAGACGGCGAGGTGGAACACCCCTCCTACATGCTAGACGAGATGAGGGAGCGGTTCATGGTTCGAGGATCTCGCACAGCCTTTGACTGGGCGTGCCGCTTGCGATCGTACGCAAAAAAAGTAGTAAGCAACACGACGTCGCTTGGCTACATCGCCTGGTCAGAGGATGGAAGCTTAGTCACGTACAAGGACACAGGCTTCAGCATGGACGCGCTTCGCAAATTTATTGCCGTTCAGGTTAAAAAAGCCCAGCAAGAGCTAGAAGATCTGCTTCTACTCCATCCTGAAGAAGCTCGCGACGATATTGTGCCACCGGTCTATCTCTATCGCCTCCAAGATAACCACAGCAACGGGCAAAAAGGCTGGAACTTCCTGAAAGACCAGCGCAATGCGGATCAGCTCCAGGAGGGTGGCGATAGATGGTTGCTTAATAGAGTTCTTGAGAACAGACTCCGCAACAATCAATCGATCGACATGATTGATTCCTATATAGGTTAAAGAGTTACTTTATTAGGCAGCCTTTAACCTAGATAGGAA